TCTGGAGAAGACTCGGGTCCGGAGCCAGGACCCAGACATCTCCACATACACCACAGCAGAGCCGGGCTACATGTGACGTTTCATAGATGAGGCTGACGTGCCCACAGCTACCCACGAATCACATCTACGGGGGTTCCAAAGCTCTTTGGTACTGGCCTGTCACAAAGCCAACATTTCTACCTAAAAGACCAAAAAGGCCACAGAATTTAGACACTATGGGAAAAAACTGATCCCAAAACCAGGAATAGTTGTTTCTTTACAGAAAATGTTTGTTCTTAGCTTAGGACCCTATCATTAAAGACCATTCAGACATCAAAAAGATAATAAAGGGAAACTACAAACAACTCTGCACACAGAAACGCGACAATTTAGGTGAAACAGACCAATTCCTTAAAAACTACTAATTATTGCAACTCATCCAATATGAAATAAATAGATGGAAAAGCCTTTTTGCTACTAAGGAATCGAAGATGTAATTTTAAAACTCCCCCAATAGAAATCTTCAGATCCAGACAGTTTCACTGGAGAATTCTAACAAATGTTTAAAGAACTAATGCTAATTCTTCACAATCTGTAACTGTTTATTAGAAGACACAGAACAAAATTTGGTTCTTTCATGTCAACCAGGAAGGAGTCCACAGAGTTCATTCTGCACACTCACCTCCCTCCTTCCTCCATCTCTCCTACCATCTATTCCTTGTGCCTAGTTTTACCTTCACCTCTTTTTAACTCACTCTGTCTTGATGTGTTGTATATTGTATCTTATTCTTGAAAGCCCTTTTGGAGGATGTAAGGATATCAACAAACAGTTTCTAGCTGATAAAGATGAAAAGACCTTGGTGATAACCCCATTCTCTCCCCCGCACCTAAAGATGGGCGGGGATTCAGGGATCCCAAATGTAACATGTTGGTTTTCCCTCATGCCTGACTGTCTCCTGTGACACTGGGCTCTCTCGTCTCTCCTCTGCCCAAGGGATGTCCTTAGACCTTTCTCCCGACCTTAGAGAAGAAAAAATTCAGGCAATTCTGCCTTCTGCATCTTGCTTTGGAGGAACCCAAGAAAATTCTGAGAAACCTGCAGTATGTAAATCAATTAAATTTTGTTTAAACCATGTCTCTCAAACATCTGATCATAAATAAATTTTTTTTCCTTTCCTTTTCTAGAAGTGTGGTGGAGAGCTGCGCCCATGAACACCCCTCAGAACACACTGGGTTGAGGTGAGGTTTCCAGAAGGCAGCTGTCTAAATCCCCACGGCGGGAGAGAGAGAACAGTCAAACGTCCATCTTACTAACACATTGGCCTGAACAGTGGCTTCTCTCAACAGTGTTGTCAAGTCCAGCAACACTGCTGGTCTCAGAGCCACTGTCCATCAAGGTACAGAACTCACTCAGCTGTAGGATGCAGCTCAACCAACAGCCACGGGATGCGGGGCCCTGAATCCTGTGTTTACCATGCAGCATTAATCTGCACCCGATTTTGAATTCTAGTAGGATGGAAGTTACAAACATTCTTCCTCCACTGACATAAATGCCAAGAGACAAAGGGTGCACAGTTCCAAAACCAACGGTATAACACACTGTGTCACCTCTGTGGAGATGGTGTGTTTGTAGACCCCAAAAGGGACAGGATCATCAAGCAAACCACTGTGATACAGGAGCCCACCTGGGGTTGGGCGCACGGAGCCCTGAGGCCCAGACTGTGGCGCAGAGGGCCCCGATGCCAGTGCTGTCTACCTTGCCCGCCTGTGTGACCTTGGACAAGTTACTCACCCTCTCTGAGCTTCCATTTCCTCTTCAGTAAAATAATTGTAACAATAGTAATTAGGGTAGTCAGGTGGATTAAATGAGTGAATATTTGCAAAGTGCTTCCCTCACAGTAAATACAACGTAAGTTTGTTAAATGGAATAGTATCATTAAGTGTTTACTCCAATTCCTCTCTATTGGTGTATGTCTCCTTTCATAATAGACAAAGATGATGCACAGCATTGGTGACAGCGAGAGCCTCCCGCTCCTCACTTTTAAGACAGCCGGGCCTGATTAATTACAAGGATGCAAATGAGGTCGGACCAGGCCGTTATGCATCTAAGGCGCACGTGCTCCCCTGTGAGGGCTGTGGTCGCACGTCACAGAGAGCCTGGTTGTCCCTTGTGCCAGCTCACGGTCAGGCCTCGAGTGCGGTGGTTACCGGGGATTCTGGCAGCACAGGAAGAAGAGGGCAGAGCAGGAGGAAGGGCTGCCAGACTCACAGAGGGGCCAGCGATAGCCTCGCAAGCTATGTCTCCCTAGGGGCTCGCAGGTCCTGAGCCATAGGCAGCCTCTCCGAAGATCCCCTGGCGGGGGCAGTAGGCACTGATCCTGCCTCTGTCTCCCCTCCCTTAGCAGCCCCACACTCAGTTGTTAAAAATAATAAAATGAAAGCGACTTGTAAAGCAGACAAAATAAAGGTACTCCAAAGACTGAAGCAGTATAGGGAAATAGTTTGGTAACACCTTGATTCTCTTTTCTTGATGTCTTTGGTATTTACTTGGAAAGAGTGTCCTACATTTCCTATGTTTTTAAAAGGTTAACAAGTACATCTTTATAAAGATTGCCAAATATGTTTTCAGGAAATGTATATTTCTTAAAAAAAAAAAAAAGCAGATCGTGTCTATGAATGATGTCCCAAGTGCCCAGGTGGCGGTAAAAGAGATCTGTGTTAGGTGTGTAAGGCTAATCCTTATATAAGTTACATAAAAGGCTGAGCTGGGTTTGCAGTAATCTAATGGCTGATACGCTGATGTCATCATAACTGTAATTCACAATGTCATAATTTATATTATATTGTTCTTGTGAAAAAAATCGCAGGGAGTTCCTCTTACAAATACAAGCCAAGATCAGAGAATATGACAAATCTCTCTCTGAACGTAAGGACGAGGGGCCTGTGAACTTGGCTGGGGATGGTCCGGCCCACCTGCTCTCAGGGCTCCAATGGACCAGCCAATGTGCTGTGTCTGTGCACATGGCAGCCTGCAACACCTTTTCCTGCTCAGTATGAAACACACATGCACACACAACCCAGAAGCCTGGGGCTGTGCTCAGGGATGCAGGGGAGCAGGCTGAACACAGAGCCTTAAGAAGCACAAACCCCAGGCCTGACTTGGTCTGGGTTTCCATTTCCGCCAGCTCAGTTTCCAAGGCAGGGTTCGCACGCTGCTTTGAAGCTGCACTTTTACAGCTGCTGCCTTTAAAGTTGTGAACATTCTGAGCAGGACGCCCTCTGACACTGCCCCTAGCAGGGCACTTCATTTTCATTTTTCTCTTACCTTAGGCAGCTCCCACTTGTTTCTGTGAATCATCTGATGGCAGGCATGGGTTATTTTTCATTTGCACCAACGTCAGATGCTAATACGTAAGGAGGGATCGCCAAGCAGATTTAGTGTGTTGAGAACGTGTGTCTCACCTTCCATGATTTTCATTTTTTTTTAACCGCCTTATTGAGATAGGCATGCTGCAATCTTAAAGACTTTTTTTTTTCATGTGAGACATGCATAATACAGCACAAAGAAAACCATCACTTCCAAGAAAACTATTTCCTCCAATTCTGTCTTGCATCTATAGTCATGGAAGCTTTAAGAGTTTTTTTTTTTTAAAGCTCCAAGCTCATCTATTGCTTAAGATTTTGAGATTCTCCACTGCTCCGAGAGGCTGCTATTCTGTATGCATAGCACAGATCCCTGCCAAGCCTATTACAGTGAATAAACAATGTCTTCTCTGTCAGGACAGGGAGTGAATAGTATCACAAAATTCTCCTCTAATGTACAGCCTCCATCTCCCCGACCCAACCCCTTCAGAAGAGAACAGGCAGAAGGGGGACTGGTGAGGGAAACATTATTCTCTCCCTGCCAATCTGGAACTGCTTTCTAGCAAGCTAAGCCCTGAGGGATGTCGACTCTCCATCAACTGCTAAACGGAGAAAGTTGACAAGTTTATTTTCTTTTAAATTGGATAGTATATTTGTGCATTTCTGTGTGTGCGTGCACACGAATCGCTTTGTCAGGAAGGGAGGAGGCAGTTCATCAGATATAATTTCAGGGCTTAGCCAGAAAACAGCTTGTAACTGCAGACTGAGCAGCAACAGGGGAACTTCAGAGAAATGACACAGCAATTTGTGTTAAAATATTGGCAGCTAATTCATGAATGCTGGAACTGACTGGGGATTCAGCTGCTTCTGTTAAGTCTTTATTCCTGCTAAGCTCATGATTCATAAAGAAAATGCCCAGAGTTACTTCTCTGAAAGATACAGTAGGATGCTGACAGACTTCTTTGGTGTCTCTGTGTCTCATATTCATTAACTCTGTCTCTCTCTCTCACACACACACACTCCTTCCTCTCCCCCTAAAAGAGACATCAAGCATATAATCTTCCAAAAAAGAACATTCGTTCATGAAGCATTTGTCACCAACCCACGGAAGATTCACTCAGTAGGTATTTTCATAAAAGAAGAACATGGATTTCTTTTAAACCTTCCACATTTGGTGTGGGAAGGGATAAATTGGGAGTTCGAGATTTGCAGATACTAACTACTATATATAAATTAGATAAACAAGAAGGCCCTACTGTACAGCACAGGGAACTATATTCAGTATCTTGTAGTGACCTATAATGAAGAAGAATATGAAAAGGAATATATGTATGTTCATGTATGACGAAACTATTATGCTGTACACCAGACATTGACACAACATTGTAAACTGACTACACTTCAATAAAAAATAAATAACTCTGAAAAAAACTTTCATATTTTAAGTCTTAGTTGGTGTAAAATACCATGATTCAGGTTTTCTCTTCCTCCCTTGTGATGTGATTACAGCACATATTTATTTTGACCCCTAAAGGAATTACTCAGCTCTTCCTCACACAGGAAGCAATGCTCTTTTAAGTATCAAGCCATGCTGCCCGTTATTTTCACAAATATCTGCGAGACACTGACATGAAGGAAAAAAAAAATACAGCGTCCCTTTTCTCCCCTTTTTCCCACACGTTTTGAGCCCAGCTCAATGGGCTCCCGGATTCTGGCGGCATTCTCCTGGTAACACATTTAGAAGGGACTGCAGGGTATCCCAGCGGCTCTGCTTTGCTGCCTGTGTCCCCCTCGCTTTCTCTCTCCCATGCCACTCTAGGTTTGTCCTCAACAATTAAGCCTTTGTGCCGTCCCACTGCAACGTGCACGTTCTGATTGCGCCCTCTTCTTGGTACAACGGTAATATTTACCTTGGAGAGAAGCTTGTCCAAATAAGGATTCAAAATGCTGGCAACGTGCTCCCTTTGAAGTGTAGTTGTGGGGAACGTCTCTCTTCCTTCTTGGCCTACAACCAAAGAGAAAAAAAGTTAGGGAACAACAACAAAAAAAGACAGATCGATAGAGACCATGAAAGATATCTGTCCAGTTCACTGTAAAAATGCTAGCAAATTTATGGCAAGTATAAGCTTTATATTCCTTCCTGAACAAAGCAAACTACGAAGTCGAGGGAAAACTACTAATAGTCGCGGATAAGTAAAACAATGTCTCTAAAATCACAGTCGATACACATACACATTAAATACACATCAATTGACTTGCTCTTTCCATAGTTTTCCTAGTTTTATGACAAATAAGTCTATGTTCCTGTACTAATGTTAAAATTCAAATAACTGTTGTCTGAATTTGAGATAAAACAAGGGATTTATTTGAAGAGGCCACTTGTGCTTTGAGGGAAGGTAAGCTGTGATTCAGTTGTGGAAAATGTCTTATCAAAAGCAGAATCTTTGGTGCAGCATGAACAGTGTGGCCCAAGTGACACACAGACCTCATCCCCGAGTCGTCCCTGCATCCCGCCCACTGTGGAAATGGGGAAGATGCAGGAATGGAGGGGACTACAGGGATGTCTTCCTTTGATTGCCCATCTGTGGCTCTGCTCTACTTCTGGTACCCAGCCCTTCCTCCATCCCCCTTTCCTCTCCAGATCACTTTACACACTATAACAAACATCTCCTGTATTGAACCTCTATTTTACATAAGACACCGTGACAAGTGCAGTGTGAGAGGCAGGAGGGGAGAAGGATGAAATGCATGAATGAGTGAGTCTCCAAGGAGAATACTCCAGCTGTTGCCTAAGATTCAGAACCACTCAGTTATTTAACAGACTGAGCCATGATCCTTGATTTGCAAAATCAAAAACTGAGTAGAACTCAAGGCTTCTATATTTGCATCTAGTGATGTTCTTTGGTCGGGGTCCACATGTGATCTCTTAGACTGAGTGTTGCCTTCTTCTACAGCAGAATCAGCAGATTATTTATATTATCTTAGGTACATCTATCGTTTCCCTGACAGCTACCAAATGAAAAATGGCTGCCTTTTGTTTGCTGCTGCGTTCAGCTACATTATTCTTTTCTTTCTCTTAATAAGTCTAAAAAGATTAGAACAAGACACACAATCATGGGCTGCCTTCCTCCAGCCTGACTCCAGGTCTTTCCACTGTCAATCATGCAAACTAAGAGGGCAGGGCTTCACTGGGTGAAGGGCTTGACACACAAGAGCCTTTCCCCAGCCATCTTTCAATCTTTCATTAGATTTCAAATCAATCCTCCTGCTGAACTTCTGCCATCCAGCTCTATTTAGACGTGGATTCCAACTGCAAATCTCTCCACTTCCCCATGTTGTTACAGTCAATCCCAGAGAACGCTCTTGAATTCATTAGAAACCTGAGCAAGATTTATTATCTAAATCAAACTGCTACAGGAAAAAAAAAACCAAAATGAAAAGAACAAACAGTTTTCTTAAAATGCCAAATCTTATTAATATGTATTAGAAATCACACGTTTGCGTATGCTTTCTCTATTACCAGGCATGAATAAAGAGTCTGATTTAAAAACTGAACACGTGATTTGATAGCTAATTTCATAATATAAAAGTGGTACATAATTTTGCATTTTCAGAACATGCATTTCACAAGTTAAAAACATTCCAAAGAAACAAGGTAATCAAGACAGTGTGGTCCTGGCATAGGACAGACATAGAGATCAAGGGAACAGAATTCAGCATCCAGAAATAAACCCATATATCTAGGGCCAACTGATTTCTGATAAAGGTGCCAAGACTATTCAATGGGGAAAGAATAGATTTTTTTTCAACAAAGGCAACTAGACAGTTAGATGCCAAAGAATGAAGTTGGATCTTCAACCCAGACAATATAGAAAGTCAACTCAAAATGGATCAAATATGTAAATACCTTAAGAGGTAAAATTACAAAACTCCTAGAAGAAGACATAAGGGTAAATCTTCCTGAGGTCAGATTTGGCACCGGAGTATACCAAAGCACAGTACCAAAGCACAAGCAACAAAAGAAAAAATAGATAAGTTAAACCTCATCAAAACTAAAGACATTTCAATGCTCTAAAAGATACTATCAAGAAAGTGAAAAGAGTGAAAAATGTATGTGCAAATCATATCCGATAAAGGATTTTTATCTAGCATGTATAAAGAAACCTCACAACTCGATGATAAAAAGACAAATAACCCAACCAAAAACAGGCAAAGGGTCTAAATAGACACTTCTCCAAATAAATATGCAAGGGCCAATAAGCACATGAAAAATGCCTCATATCATTAGTCACCAAGGAAACACAAATCAAAACCACGAGATACCACTTCATTCCCACTAGGATGGCTATTATCAAAAAGTCTAAGACAGTAACAAGTGTTGACAAGGATGTGGAGAAATCAGAACCCTCGCACCTGGCTGACAGAAATGTAAAATGGTACAGCCACTTTGAAGACAGCCTGGTTGTTTCTCAAAAAGTGAACAATAGTTATCACTTGACCTAGTAATTCAACACCTAGGTAGATATCAAGAAAAATGAAAGCGTACGTCCACGCAAAATCCTGTACAGGGATGTTTACAGCAGCATTTATTCACAACAGCTCCAGAGTGGAAAGAATACAATGTCCATGAAATGAAAGGAAGCACTGGTACAACTTACAACATGGACGAACCCTGAAAACATGCTAAGTGGAAGAAGCCAGTGACAAAAACTCCCACATACTATCTTATCGCATTTAAATGAAATATCCAAAATGGGCACATAGACAGGTTGCCTAGGGCTGGGGAATAATCACCCTGGGTATGCTATCTGAGAGTTCTGTGGTTCCTTTTTGAGGTCATGACAATATTCTAAAATTGATTGTGGTGACAGCTGCACAATTCTGTGAATCTACCAAAAACTATTAAATTGTACACTTTAAATGGGTGAACTGCATGGCATGCGAATTACATGTCAACAAAGGTGTTACCAAAACAACATTCCAAGGAATGTGGACATTATAATGTTGGTGATTATCCAGATCAATCTGAAAGAAATATGGCGCCGCAAACCCAAGCGTGATTTTAGCTGGGATCGCTGGAGTTGTTGCCCTGAAGCAGGATCACCTGGCTCCACTGCAAACCATCTGAGCCCGACTGAGACAATGAGGGTATAATTCTGCACGGACCAAATGATTCTTCAGGTCCTCACGATTATCTCCAGTGTGGACAGCAGTTAATTACTGCAAATGATTACTGTCCAATCAAATGGAAATTCTATGGTGTCAATGTTGATTTTCTTTTCTTTTCAGGACTTCGGGAAGCCAGGTGTCTACTTCAAAATGACTGCCCCCACTGCATACACTAAGTCAGTGGAATGCCAGGCTCAGAACTGCATCTTCTAAGCGTATTTCATTGACAGACAGTTCTCAGGAGGATTGATACCAGGTTCTAAACATGGATGATGTCATTCCTGAGAAGCTCCAACAAGTGAACTCTGGTCATTCATGATGCATTCTGCCAACTAACCTGAAGGCTTGTTCTGGCTAGAGCATGTCAGAGGAGCTGAAATAGGGATGGGATGTGCACCTGACAGATGGCCTGGTCCAAGCCCCAGCTGTCACTGCTACGGGGAAGTCTAAGGAGAGGAATATTTCTTCAAAATTATGCCCTTACAGGGCGGGGAGGGAAAAATGAGGGGTTGGGGATTAACAGACACACATTACTATATATGAAATAGATAAACAGCAAGGACCTACTGTATAGTACAGGGAACTATATTCAATTACTTATAATAACATGTAATGGAAAAGAATCTGAAAAGCAAAAATATATATATCCATGTGTATATATAATTGAATCACTTTGATGTACACCGGAAACTAACATTGTAAATCAACTACACTTCAATAAAAAGTTTTTTTTTTTAAAAAAACTACACCCTTATAGTCCCTTTTGGGGAAGTAGTGATGATGTCAACAGCAAACCTCCCTGTATCTGGGTGGATAAATACAAGGATCTGGTAACACAGACCTGAGCGACTTTACCCCAAACCCATGTTTGAGAGGCAAGACATCTACTCAGTGTGAGACTAGAATTGTGATGCTCAATGAACAATTCTCAGATTTGTTTCTACTGTACAGCACAGGGAGCTATATTCAACACCTTATAGCAACCTATAATAAAGAAGAATATGAAAAGGAATATATGTATGTATATGTATGACTGAAAGATTATGTTGTACCCCAGAAACTGACACAACAATGCAAATGGACTACAATTCAATAAAAAAGTCCTAAAGGAAAATAAAAGAAAAATTAAAAGTGAGGTATAAAGCAACCTCCCTTGATACCTGACCCCTTCCTACAATGCCCGTAACATTCAGTTTCTAAGTGCAATGTCAAAAGAACTCAGGGAACCACAGCAGTAAAAAGCACTGTGCACAGAATGAATCACAGTGCCTAGGATACAAGAATCACTCAATGTTTATTCATGGATCGAGTGAATTAATTTTAAAAACCCAGAGCAGACTTGAGGATGTTGCTGTCACACAGCTGCTCTCACTTGCAGTCCCTGAAGGCAGAGAAAGGCGCAGGCTTGCAGGTTGCTCACAATCGGTGTGCCATCACGGCGATACATCACAAGTGCAATGCCATCCTTCATCCACGCTGCGATGGAAATAAACCAGCAAACAAAGCTTAGACCTGCTAATCCAGTCTATGCTGGACTTTCTTCCATAAAATGAAAGGCTTCCAGAAGGAATCCCTTTTTATCTCTGGGAACATTGTTAGGTTTGAGCTAAGGGTAAGGAAGGTTTAGTGCCTGCAACCTAGTTTGAGTCCTGGTTCTAATGCAGAGTAAGTCCAATACTTTCCCTAGATGGGAACCTTTCAAATACTCGGAGACGCATATTTAAAGAGGTTGCAGGGAGAGGGTATAGCTCAGTGGCAGAGTACCGTTTGGCATGCCTGAGATCCTGGGTTCAATCCCCAGTACCTCCATTAAAAAAATAAGTAAATAAACCTAAT